TCTCTCCTCTGTGTTTAAACAGTTGGAGCTGAAGTGAAGTGAAAACAGCAATGCGGTTTATAAAAAAAAACAAGCTCCAGTCTGAAATGCCACTGCCATGTACACCATGTGTGTAATTGCGAAATCCGAACACCTTTAAAAACAACAGAATGTCACAGCTTTTCCAATCCGACCCATTCCTCCCCTGGTGCTCTATTCTCACACCATAACCTGAACCTGTGCATTCAAGAGAAAGGCCCTGAACCATGAAATCCCCCACTATGCTACAGGACAAATCCCCATGACCTCACCATGAAATGATACGCTTGAGCGTCTCTTCACACTGTTGTCTCCTATGAGGCCTGCTGGTGCTCCGGTCATTACCAGGGGCCCGTATCTCTGCTCAGATGCCTGCTATGAGGTGGTGGAATTGCAGACTGAAGAGGCTGGAGCGGACATTTCCTGTGGGCCTGAAACCACATCGCGAGGAAGCAGGGATTGTGTCTGCTGGTGCGTGAAGAAAGAAAAAGCACATCTCATGAATCCAACTGTACACATGGAGTCCTGGAGACCAGGGGAACAAAAGCATGGCTGCTCTCACACGCCCCGGTCAGCTGTACATTTTCCGCAGGAATACACCAGTTTGTAATTCAAAATAATATTTCATATCTATGGCTTTGTTCTGTAGTTTCTTTCTATCGGGGTTAGGGTACAATGACTGTGGGCATTTTACCGTCATGTTACCAAGTCGTTAACAAGATCATCCATCACTACAATGATATGCAGAGAAATGGAAGCAGTTAAAGAGCCCGGAAGACACAGTTTTGGTTAAAGTGAACGGCTAAAATAATATGTTATCTAATGTATCGATCATCTGTGGATGAAGCCTAAATGTAATTATTTCAAGTACGTTCACAGTTATTAATGGTGGCTTTGATGTAGCAAGCCTTTGCATAACTGAACATCTTCCATCCATTTTCGTACGCTTCTCAAAGGCCTGCTCGTGGAGGCAACAGGTTTAGGAGATAATCTCAGATATCCCGACCGACCAACACTCTCCAGCACCTCTCAGGTTATCCCAATGAATTTGTCGGCCATGAAAGATATAAAAACCCTCCAACAAGCTCTGGGTCTGCCCTGGGCCTCCTCCCAGTGGGATGTGCCTGAAAAACATCCCAGGGAAGGTCACCAGGAGGCTTATTAACCAGATGCCTGAACAACCTCGTTTTTATGCAAAGCTGTTTATATTAACTTTGTTCTGTCTGTTCTTTAATTAGATCCAGTAACCACATGTGAGAGTTGGAACAAAGAGCAAATACGGACCACAGCAACCTCATCACTGCTGAGGAAACCTCAATCCGTTGACCATCCACTTTTCAAAACCACCTCATCCAGTTCAGGGCTACAGGGGGCTGGAACCCATCCCAACTTGTCTATCCATGTCTCACTTCAATTTGTCATCGCGCATCAACAGGATGCCGGTATAATTGAGCTCCTCCACCAGAGAGCTCTCCACCTTCGAGGGTTGGGAACCATGATCTGGGATGTGGAGGAGCCGACTCTCATCCCAGGCCACTTCACACTCTGCTAGAATATAATGGAGGTCTTGTTTAGAAGAAGCCAACAGAACCGAAACTTGATCCAGACCCATTGCTTTGGGTAAACAGGGACTCAAAGGCTTGCAAAAGCAACTTCAGTATCCCATCCTCCCTGTTATCGACTGCCATGTTAGTGTTGTTGCAATCATACTTTTAAAAATGGCCATGATAAGAATACTGATAAATGCTTTTTGTTCATTCTTATTTTCTGTTCTGTCACAATGCTTTGTTTGTTGTGGACTTTTTAAAGTTGATCTTCGAAATAATACATTTTGAAAATCCTTTTTTATTTATTTTTCCGTGTTTCAATTTTTTTTGGTGTGTTGTTTTCTTAATAGTTGTTGTGCCTACATCTTAAACCAATTCTAATACCGTAAATGTTTTTTCATTTTTCTTTCTTCTTTGCCTTTGTTTTTTCTCATGCTGCTTGTTTCTGCTTCGGGTCCACTGCAGAAAAGCAAACACACAAATTCACATTGTGAGTTCCCCTGCACAGTACTTACATCACAAGTACATCCGCTTTGTACTGAAATCTGGAGAACACATTGAGCAATTCCTCAGATTCCTTAATGACTTAATTAGAGAACGTTGCCTAAACTGGAGCAGAAAATCTCAACATGGAGATGAGCGAGGAAGTGTGCCAGACAACAGCATGCTAACACAAAATGCTGCTAATTGCTGCAGCAGTCGACAGATGTGCCTCACGTTTTTACCCCTTTCCTGCTCAGTCAAAATGAGCTGGGCCCCAAAGAATGCCAAATGTTGTCATCCTTAACTAAATGATTTATGGCCGCAGAGCGGCGTCATGTCTTTTTAATTCCTAACAGTCGACTGTGGATGCTGTTTGAAGCTTTAGGCAGCTGAGCTTTTTTAATCCTTAACTACAGTAATCATCAACTACTAATTTTCCCCTAAATAGACAAATGGCACGGATACTCACAGAGTCTGGGATGTATTGAATTCAGCCTCGGTTTTCACAAGGATCATTGCAAAACCTATGAATTCCACACCGTGTGACTCCCCAACCGGAGGAAAAGGTTTTAACTTTCCAGGCGGAAAATAAGTCAGTTTGTCATGTGGACCAAAAGGCGAGAGCTAAAAATGCAGCAGTTCTGCCCCAGCCTGAACGCCGTGCTCTCCAGCAGACAGTGGCACAATCATTAATCACCCGACTCATTAAGACAATCTGCACAAGCTCATGAAGACTGGAGCAGGCCATAGGGACTGTTTTATCTTCTGAAGCACCATCCTATTTATGTCCATACAACCTCCTTAACAGTCATCTTTAATGGCGCAAGGTTATGATCTCTAGCATCTATTATGGTTGCCGGTTTGCAAAGATTATATTTCTCATGTCATCTTCGTTTCTGCCAGCCCTCTTAAGGACCTTTAACCGTTGACTCAACCGACAGGCAAACACTTGAAATTTTAGTGAACAACAAATGCAAACCGAAAAATCGAGAAGCCCAAAAGGAAATTGGTGAAGAATTATAAACTTGTGCTTTTTTCTTAAAATAACAAAATTCTGATGTGAATGCAAATCAAGAAATGCAAAACGTTGCCATGAAAGGATAGTTTAGACTGTATAGAGCAAGCATAAGACTGAATATAAGATAAAATGATGTAATCCCAGCAAACAAAGCCACAAACGCTTGTTTGTGTAAATATGGACGATTAGATATTTGAACGACTATATCAACAAAAGCTCATAAACACAACAGACTAGATGATAAAGTCAAAGTCAGAATAATGGAGGAACTGAAAAGAAAACCTTTACTTCCATCCCACTGGAGCCCAGTGGAACCCGGTGGAACAGTGGAATATTCATTTGCTTGCTTTGCTTCACATTTGAATAACTTTTACAATAAAACTCCATCTTGCAGTAGTGCTGGACACATACTCTGTATCCTTGAGGACAAACCGGTTGCCTGGCAACTGTCCAGTCTCCAACTGTTTTGTAATGGACACAAAAAGGACGCGTGTGGATTTTTGGGATGAATGGCCCACCTTGGCATCATCAACACGACACTCGGGGACAATTTTTACAAGTTCGGACGACAGCTCATCACTCACCCATAAGAGGCCCGTCATGGGACTGTTCGCATCCAAAATGGCGTCATTCCAGGAAATTTGATTTGTCACGCCAATAAATTAGCACCTGGCAAATGAAGGTAGCGTCCAGAGTCCCAAACCGTCCGGCACAGGTTCACTGGTCTGCAGCAACTTTGAAACACTGGCTTGTGATGCTTCTCACATCTCATTGTTTAGATACTACGCAATATTCTGATGTGTAACAACGTTTTTTTTTATCTCAGGTGATTAAGCACAAACCCCCGTGGGTTAATACACTCTAGAATAACCCAAACCTCAAGAGCCAAAAGAGCCGTCGCCTGCATCCCAGTACAAAAGAAACATCGGTCAACCCTAGAGGTCCCTCATCCACAGCCAGGGGCGTGTAACCGATTGTGTAACATCACTGTTATTTAAACTATACAAATTAAGTCTCAAACTCTGAGATAGAGAAGCTGCTATCTTTATGAGCACTGTCGCTGTAGGACTGCAGAGTCAAACTGACACTGGAGCTGGATGAGGTAAAGGTGTGTGTGTGGGTGTGTGTGTGTGTGTGTGTGTGTGAGGGATTTCTTTGTTGCGGAGTGGGGGTGGTAAGGGGGGGTATCAACACTATATAATACAGTCCTCTCCCTGCCCCCACGAGCAATTTTCATGGAGGCTGGGTTTCATCAGGTTTTGTATTTCAGACCTATTGATTATCTGCAACGAGGGGGCACTGTGACAAAAACTCAGCAGGGCATCTCCATCTGCAATAAACTCTGTTGGGTTTCTCCTTCACACACACACTCACACACACACACACACAACGCTCATCATTTCTGTTGTGCGCTCCCAGGGTCATGGAATAGATTCTGTTTCCCAGTAAAAACATAAGGGTGATATGCGCACTCATTACCCAAACTGCTGTAAGCCAGATAAAAAAGGATTTTAATCACGCATGCCACATCCCTGTTTCCTTTAAAAATAGTCTTTCTTTTAAAGATTGAAAACGGTTAGGTGATCAGTTCTCTTTTACTGAGTCTTCTCTCCAGAATCGATTCCTATTTCCCTGACCTTTAGATCTCGCGAGGAGAAATAACTGAGAGCTGAAGAGACACAGCCGCAAAGCACCTCACGAGCCAGAGAGCGTGAGACTGTGCCTTTAGGGACAAGCTCTGGGTCTTTGATAAGGATGGACAGACTTTAACACCTGTCCCGATCCAAAGCCTCAGCATCAAATATTCAGACGGAACGTGACTTCCATCTAGTGGCGTGAAGAGGAAACGGAGACGCTCGGCGTTACTGTCGTAAAGACAACGCTACGTGAAACGAAGCATTTGACGGCACTTTTGAATCAGCACAATTACGAGCATGGCTTCCTCGTTAATTTGTAGCGAAACACAACACAGGTAACGTGCAGTGAAACACTAAACAAAAAGGATGTGAGGGGAGAAATGACGGGTCGTGACTGTGGGCCTTTCCCGTTTCAGGGTGAGTTCGGTGCTCAACAGGGATGTGAAGCAGTTTGGAAAGAAGTTCATGTTCGACAGTAACGAAGAGACATGTTGGAATTCAGACCAGGTAAAATTGCAGCAGTGGGCCTCCCCCGACCAGGTGTACCTATGATTGACACTCACTTTAGCAGTCAGTGTTTATTTGGCACCAAGCTAGCCAATTATGTCGCGAGGGGAAGTTATAAAAACAACATGTAACAGTCCAATTTACAGCTTATATGTTTGGGTGAAGAAGAGTTGTAGTTGTAGTCAGAAATGATTGTTAGACATGTCCAAAATCTGTACTTTTTGTGCTACAGAAACTGTAGCTGTCATTGTTGACATCACTGCCAGTCATGAATTTGCTTGATAGTTGTTTTTTCTTCCAGCAAATACTTTGACATATCTCAGCAGGAAATGTGTGTGTGTCTCATGTTCACCTCCCACTTTGGAAAGTCCAGCTCATTTGTTTACAAGCTGAAATCTTTAAAAAATCTAACACTATTTCTTTCATCTTATCCTCTTATTATTATTATTCTAAATGTGACTTTCAAGCATTTATCTTAATGGGGTTATGTGATGTGATGTGTGACAGGACCAAGTACTGAATGTTCGTATTTTAGAGCCTTTTCCCGCCGTAATTGATTCCAATTCCAAAATAAGCCTTTGTAGCTTATTAAGTTCCATCATTAGTAAACTTTTATTTTGCGTGTCGGTGAGCCCGTGTCATGTTTTCGTCAGGGTGAGTGTCAGTGGGTGTCGCTGGACTTCCCCGGGACCGTAAAGGTGTCAGAAGTAAAAGTCCAGTTCCAGGGAGGCTTCTCAGCCAAAACGTGCAGACTAGACGGTAAAACTTAATCACATCACCGGTGACTTCTAAGTATTAACTGCTCTGGTACCGTTAGTGGTTCCTGTTACTGTTGTGAAAAGATGAAACGCATGTTTTTTTTCTACCTGTGGCGTCTACAGGTTGCCTTAAAGGAGAAGACTTTACCACGCTTTGCCATTTTTACCCAGATGACAACAACGCGCTTCAGATATCCTTCACTCTTACTAAACGACACTTTCAGGAGGCAATTTTATCAATAATTTGAGCGCATTAATTGTATAAATCCTGTAATTACAGTAATTATGCCAGATAATTACTGTTATTATCAGGTGTGATTACTGTATTATTTTATTTTGCCATACATTTTGAAAATCCTCAATCTAACTCTGTGTTTTGTAGTTTTTGTGCAGGTAAGAAAATAATAGCGTGTAATAGAATTAACATTTTAATCATTGTTTACAGCAGGGGTCCCAAAGTCGGTGCTCTTTGGGCCGCTGCCCTGCAGGTGTCAGGGGTTTTTCCCTGCTTCTACACCCCTGATCGGTTCAACAGCTCTGAACCAGCCCCATAACGGCATGCCGATGTGAACCAGGCGTGTCGAAGCAGAGAATCATCTAAAACCTGCAGGACAGCGGCCCAGAGAGGACCGGAGGGACACCCCTGGTTTAAAGCCATTCACGGTAAAGTAACACCTGCATCTGACCCTGAAATGAATCCCGACTGTATGCAGTGACTGTCAAATAAAACATTTACAGAGTACTTAATGTTCTATCTAATCTCCTGGGACTTTTACAGAAACACAACATGTCACTTTAAGAACACATTGGGCTTCCTGCTGCCCTAAATGGCTCATATTGAAGTATTAGAAAACATATTCCTGGACATGTTTTTCAGTGTGACCATTGTTATCTTGTGCTTAACTCCACACCCACAGCTTTCCCATCCAGGAGGCCCCGGCCGTGGACAGAGTAAAAATAATGTTTGAGAATAGCGCTGATTTTTTTGGGAGAATCATTGTTTACTCTTTGGATATCTTGGGGGGAAAAGTCATGTGACCATTATTTTAACCCTGCCATGAGAGAGGAAGTGACCTGTGGGTAAAGTGTGGGACTCGGTGTGGTGGCACTGGGGGGAACATGTCGTCTTCACCACCTTGTGAACGGACATGAATGTGGCCTTTTTTGGTAGGACTGCATCCAGCCGTCAGGCAAGCTCAAGTCGGGTTAGCACGTCCTTTTTTTCTATGATAACTAAAGCCGTGGTAGCCTACTTTTGGAACTTGGATTGTGTGTTGGATTTCAATCACCATTCCACTGAAAAAATACATTTTTATTAAAACAGTTTTTTTTGCCATTTCTTTTCCAAATAAAACAATTTTGCAAAACTGGCATATTTTAGTCCTTTTTCCTACAAAGATCTGACATACATTTAAAGCAATAAAAGGAATACATTCAGATGGACTAAGCGTTTTCTAAATGAACAAATCCAGTCTACAATGTTAATGCCTCTACAAATATTCTGATCTGTTCTGACTTTTTGTGACAGATGATAACTGCCCATGGATTTGGGACCAGCTCTGTCAGAGTCCTTTCTATTAATTTACTTCCATGTTTGATGTCCAGTCATGTTGTAGGCTTGTAGAGTTTCAGGATGTGGTCCTCTAACACTTTCTGAACTATAAAAAAAACAAAAAAACAAATATGTTAATATTGAAAAACTTCTTTTTTTTGGTTATCAGCCTCTTATAAACACATTCCTGGGTAACTCTAAATATATAATGGATACATTTAAGCTTTAATATGGTGCAACCAGAAAATTTTGACTTGAACCGTTCTTCACAAAGCAGAAACTATTCCTATTCAGACAAACTACCTGTCTGATCCTTATCAGAATCTGTATGAGGTGGAGAAACATACTTTTTTTGTGTCCCAAGGCGACGGCTAAAGCCATTGGACTATACCCAGAGTCTGACTCGATGGTCATATCAGCTCCTTTTGCTGAAAGAAAGCCCCATGACAGGAATGTGAGAATTTAAACAGAAGTCCTCTAAATTGATTAAACAGACATTCGGCTTACCCAGTAATGCCTCTACGCATTTGACGTGGTTCCCTCGTACAGCATAAAGGAGAGGAGTTCCTCCATTCTGCAGAAAAGAGGACCTTTTATTTTTTATCTAAAAAAGAACATGAAACTAAAAGCTAACATGCTAATTTCATGTAAATCTTAAGTATTTCTGGAGGGAACTCATGAAGACCCAGTTGTACCCAGTCATAGGTGTTTATGTCCACTCCATGTCTGAGAAGAGACTCGACAATGTCCACATAACCCCCGGAGCTGGCCAGTGTCAGGGCGCTCTCTCTCTCCCTTGCGATTGCTTTTGGATCTGCACCCTGAAACACCAGATTGCACGAACGTCAGTAACAATGCACCGTGTGTGCGCCTTCCCAGCATGCATGTGTTCTTTCTAACCTTCTCCAAGAGAAAGTCCACCACCGCTTTCTCTCCGAAGGCGGCTGCCCACATCAGAGGAGTAAAGCCCCGCTCGTCCTGGCTGCTGAGCAGAGAAATGTCTGGAAGAGCAAACATCACGTGAACAGTCCACATGAGGCATCACAGAAGTATATCCTAACAGCCTGTTCTTACACCGTCTCACCTTTACTCAGATGTGCGGCCACTTGTGAGACTTCACCCTGGGCGGCTAACTGGTGTATGGACAGAGCTGATGGGGGATTTGAGAGTCATCATTTTTAAATGGTCAATACAGGAAAATCAGGGTCTTCATTTTCTGAGCTGCCTTGCCAAAAAGAAAAGAAAAAGCTCACCATCTAATGTTGCTGGCCTCACTGTTACCTCATTCCCCCGCTGCTTGTTGGTCAGAGTGGTGGAGTGTTTGAACAAATCCTCCTCATCCACATCCATGTTCTCTGGAGGCACTGGTGGAATCACATGAAACGGCCAAGTCAGCTAATCCAACACATTCACGATCTCTTTATTACAACACTGTAAACGCAAAGTGATTTCCAGTGGGACACGGAGATGCAGCGTGTCTCTGGTAGGTCAACACTGATTTGAACTTGTATGAAAAACAAGATACAGTACCGGCGGTCTCGTGTCGTGGATCGGAGGGACATCCGTTAGCGGCGGATGGCTCAACGTGTTGGCCATCGGCTGCTTCTTTATCATCTCTGGACTCCATGATAACTACAGTAAAAAAAAAAATGCATCACATCCTCACGCCATTAGAGCGCTGGCCCCATCAGTTTCTAAAGCAAATAACATTTTCCACTCACCACATCCAGCCCCACAGTCGCGCTAACTTCCTTTTAGGAAAACTGAAAGTAAATTATTTCATCTCACACAATTGATCGTCCTGGTCCCCCGAGTGCGTCATTTTACGTTATACGATTCGAAAGGATCTAACCCTTTACGCCAAATATCTTAACGGAGACAATGAAAACACGTTTGAATCCATGAGCCCGTGTACCCTACCACGGCACCTGGCACTCTCTTTTCGAAGGAAGAACTATTTTTCTCCATAATCGATATTTCCACCCGGAGTGATTTTCGTGTGACACACAACAACAATAATACGGATGGGGAAGAAGTCAGGTGACTCCGGTCGTTCTGTGAGGCAGGGAGTCCAATAAAGGGGCGACGTTATGGAGGACCAGGAGATGCAACTGAAAGTGCGACGGGGTAAACACCAGCGATAAGAAACCGAGCACACTCTCCTCTCTGCTACGTTGTGACGTTGCAGTTAGGAATGGGTTAGCTCAGCCTAGCACCGAGGCTAATGCTATGTGCCATTTGTCTGTGTGTATGAGAAAAAAAACTCTATTGCTTTTCTCTGACCCAATAGTGTATGCTGTTGCAAGAACGTGTTTTTCTTTTACAGTTAGTGACAAATTCACGGAGAGCATGTACGTCCTTGCCAACGAGCCCTCGGTGGCCCTCTACAGACTGCAGGAGCACGTGAGAAGGTCGCTGCCTGAGCTCGTGCAGCATAAGGTATATTTCCCTCTGACAGTTAAAACCACGTGCAACTGATTAAAGGCTAATTTACCGTCTTATTTGGAGTATAAAACAACTTGAGTGCACTTTATTGGCGTTTGGATTTTTCAAAATAAATGCATACACCAATACATTAGCATAAAAAAGACATTGATATGAGACTTTCAATCTATCAAAATATAAAAGCTCCTCCTCAATCTGTTCTAATATCTCACATAAGACCCTTCCATGTAAAATAGAAACAATGGACTGATGGAAGAGACAAGAGAAAGGGGTCATAATGCTTTTAAGTGGCTGAACGTTTTTTTCCAGGGCCTTGAAATTTGTTTTCTAGTGTATCGTGTTTGTTGGATTAGTCTCAACTCCAAATGTGACAATTGACCATTTTTCTATATATTTCATAGTGTTACACAACGCTGATATATGAGTTATACTGGCTTGTTCCAGCAGACCTGTGAATACATAATGTTTACATATTTTCCTTAATATGACACATCTCACAAGTTGTTGACACAGTTTGTGTCGCAGTTTTCTTCCTCTTTCAGTGAAGGGTTTCTTTGCTAATCCAGTCCTCGTGCCACACACAACAACCAGCCACTTGTGCCCGCTGGCTCAGAAGTGGTGGCTATGTGCTACCCCCAGATGGCTCGCCCCCTGCTAACTTGTCTTCCTTACCCCCAGCATATCATTTAATTATTTCCCCCTTAAAATGCCAAATAACTGTAAAGAAAAGGGACACAGATTATTATTCCTAGAGTTAAAACTTCACAGTGTTGCAGCTTCAAGCTGTAAATATTTTATGTTTATAAATATTCAGAAATTTTGCAGCACCGGTTATGGAAAATAGGTAAGAAATAGATACAAAAAGGAAAGATTCTAACCTACAGGTCAAATCTGCATGACGTTAGGATTTATTCTCCTATTTGAATAGACATACAGGCTGTGTGGCTGAACTTTTTGGGACTATAGATGATGCTCAGCAGATACATAAACAAACAGCATCCCATAGTTTTTCTAGCCTATTTATTTAATGATGTCTTTTAAAACACAAAAATGATTTTATCCAGTTTAGTTATGTATTCACGTCATTAGTAAAATTAAATTAATCCCGATTGTTACAGGCTGTGTAATATAGGTATATTTCGTTCTATTCTCAGACAGACATGCAGAGCTGGGAGGAACAAAGTCAAGGAGCCATTTACACTGTCGAGTATGCATGCAGGTGAGGCGGCTGCTTCATTGGACATCTGTCTACGCATAAGCCCTTCAGTCTGTTGCCCTACCCGTTAACATCTGCATTTATGTGCCGTTTCGTAGCGCTGTGAAGAGCATGACGAACAGCAGTGTGTATTTCAAAAACATCGACGGCCTCCTCCGTCAGGCCATCAGCATGAAGGAACAGATCAGCCATTCTCAAGGACGCAGGTAGGAGGCAGTAACGAGCTCGTTCACTGGCTCCAAAGGCCACGCTCACTTCTAAGATTGATTAAAATATTACTGCTGGAGCCATATTTTAGTGACAGCATCTGGACAAAGCGTTGCCCCTTTTTTTCGCCCAAATTTAGTTTCTATCCATTGCATCATCATATCTTTGTCCCTGTCTGCTTTTTTTTTTTTTTTTAATCATTCGTCCAAAATGGTTTGCATCAGACATGATTAGTGTTGTCAGATACACACAGGTTAACCTAACTTAACATAACCTACTTTTTATATAAACCTAATTCATTTGTTCCCTTTTATGGCAAAGTTTTACTGTACATCTGTCCGTTCATGTAAGCCTCATATTTTGCTTTGCTTTTTACCCTGCTTTTTTTTTTTTTAGCATTACTGTCATTTCATTTCTTTCCCATTGACACCCGCATGCAGATTAGATGATGTGACCCCATCTCCTAGTGCCCCTGTCTCTACTCCGCATGTCCCATCTACTTCTTCATGATCTGTGCTGTGTCCAAGGTTAGTAGTTCCTTTCAGCATGACTCAGTTCTGGTGAAAAAGAAATCAGATAAAAGTGCATCCGACTGACCTTCTGTGATAATTGCCCCTTGTGAACATAGTTTTTATGTCTTATGTGAATAATTTTCTTTGATTTCATTCATGGTTCATGAGAAATCATTTTATTTCAAACTCATAAGAAAACACACAGCACGTTGTATATGTCAAAAGCCTCTATATACAGCAGAATAGAGTATTTACATTAATATAATGAAAGACATAAACATGTTGGGATATGTCTTTTGGGAGTCATAGGCATGTAGATTTAAGTTTTTTTCATCAAAAAGACATCAAATACAGAGATGCATGTCTGGTCAACAAAGAATTTGTGACGACGTTTGTGTGTGATCCTGCTGTCAGGTTCAGCTTACTGAGAGGAAAAAGTTCAAGCTAACACTTCTACCTCCGTACTGCCGTTACGCAATTTCCCCCCAAAGGCGGTGATCGGTCCTCTAATAATCGCTTCCTTTCGCCCAGAAGCTCGACTCCTTTCATGTCACACAAGAGTGGAGTCTTTGGCCGAAATCCCGGACTTGCGCGCGAGGACGCTCCTCATCTCGTTGTTGACTCCGTTCCAGGGCTTGACCTGGGCCTGCAGCAGGCCCGACTCGGTGGACAGGGTCCTGTGCATGCGCGGGTAGCTGCCGCCGCCGCTGTAGTCGTCCTTATCCGCGGCCAGGTCTGCGGGGGGGTACTGCTGCGGCTGGTAGGGCTCCCTCTGTCTGGGATTGCCACAGGCGGGGGGGTAGGACATGGCGTGCTGCAGGTGGGACTGGCTGCGGTGGATGCGCGGCTTGTCCACGCCCACCCGCAGCTCGCAGGGCCGGGAAAGGGGCGCCCCGCCGCCGCCGCCACCGCTCTCGTTCTGGAAGAGCGTGTCGGCACGGTCGCCACGGTAACGGCCGGCCGCGCGGGAGGCTTTGACCAGGGAGTGGATGACCGACAGCAGCAGGATGAGGATGCCGGAGGAGAGCACGCAGGCACTGGCGATGCCCGTCTCCATCTCAAACATCAGGAGCATGAAAATGGACATGGCTGCAAAGACAGAGCAGAGTAGGCCTGTGAGGGGGGGGGGAATCCAACAACCAGAGGCTAACGGAGGGAGGGTAAACGCCTGGTGGCGGCTGCTTTTCTGATCTCGTTCGCTGTGTTTGCAGGAAGAGGACGATGGAGTCGGGCGGGCCGAAGGAGGGGGGGGACAGGCCCGGCTCGGGGATGTGACGCTCCTCCAGAATTTCCTCCGCCCGCCTTTCCGATCGGCTGAAGCCGAGGGGGGGGGGTCAAAGAGGTGACACCTCCCAACGCAATGAAGCAGCCGCCAACACTGACCCCTCCTCCACCACCCCCAGTACAACCCCCCCCCCGGTGGAACAGAGTGCACCAGCACTGCCAGGTTCAGCATTAAAAAAAAGGAAAAAACTTAAGTCATGGCTGTTCAAAGAATGCATTGTTCTCCGGTCCGGCTCGCTGGATTAGAGGGGAAAATGGCAGCGCTGTTTAGCCTCCGCTGCCCAAATCCACTGGTTTCAAAAGGTTTCCGTCACTCTTTTTAGTTAGTTTAGCGAGAATGTCGCAGAACGCTTCAGTTTATTCGAGCTTTCTGTGGTTCTTACCTGCTAAATAGACGGACACCCCCAGGCAGAAAAGCCCAATAGCTACATGTCGTACAGCCCTGCTGTCCAAAAGGAACCAGTCAGCTCTGCGGAGAGAGATTTTAAACAGAAATAATCAATATAATTCCCTTTTCTTTTTAAACAACATATACACAGATAAGTGTGTATTTGCGTGTGTTGGCAGGGGGGGATAGGGGATATCTGTTTTTACTTCTTTCTCCTGCTCTATTTTCTCAGACGAATTTGTTCAGTAAACCCGAAACCCTTGAGTTGCTCTTTTCAGCAGCCCTGCAGTCTGTGACCCCCGTTATTGTTCGCCCTCTCTTGGAATCCCTCCTGTCAGTGGGGAGGTTCTTGAGGTATGCCGATGAATTAGTATGCCGACGTGGGAAAGGGCCGACAAGAGGCGCATAATGAGAGGAAGGCCTTTGTTTACACGGGACCCGGGGAGGATGGGAGGCGGAGGCCGGGGGGGGGGGATGACCAGCAAAACCATAGTGTGGGCCTCTGCACTCTGACATACGAGGTGGCCCCCTTTCCTTCTTTCGGAGGCTGTGTTTTCCTTTAACAAAACCTCACGGCTAAATTTAGCGTCTGAGATAAGGCCGTGGTTTGCTGCCTTAACGATGAAAGAAGGTTTGGGTGGGCCATCGGGGAAACGCCTGTAAGCCTCGATGTTTTTACAGGCAGATCAACTGTTCACTTCATTACATGTTGATTGTGGTTTCAAATGTGATCATTAAAGAATACAACAACTAAAGGATGAATGGAAGGCTCCACTCAATGCTGCTTGAGAGACCATAGTCTGATGGTCAGAGACAGTTAAGGACGTGGCCGGAAAACACTTCAGTCTCCATTCTTGTTTAAAGGGTCTTTTTTTTATTTAAGTTGCACGTCTGGGTGTGTGAGGTCTGAAGTTTGCGTAACACAACTGGAGACGTGCGTCACGGACCCTAAAAAGAGCCGTCAGGACGCACCGGGCCAGCGCAGGTGCCTCCCTCCCCGCCCCCCCCGCCCCTCTCTCCCCCTTACCTGTCGGTATCCTGCTCCCCCCTGCAGACCTCGGTGGAAAAGTAGCCGTGGAGGAGGCACACCACCACCGAGCTGAGGTTGAGCGTGAGCGCGAGCGCGGCGAGCACGGTGGACACGGGCAGCAGCACGGCCCAGACGTGCGCGGGGACCAGCGCCGAGGTGGAGGGGGGGGACTCCTGCACCGCCTTCTGCTGGGACTGCTGCTGGAAGATCAGGATCACCGACAGAACCGTCATGACGGCGGACAGGACCCCCAGCAGGGACAGAACCACTAGAGACCTCTGGCTGTACTTAAGCGTCATCCTTTGGTTTTTGGGGGTTTTTTTATCCGGACCTCTGGTTCCAGAGAGGAGGGGAAAAACAAAACAAACAAGTTTCCGTGTCCCGGTCCGGCTCCGTGAACGCTATCCTCCTGCTTCCACCCCTAAAGTCCCGGGAGGTGTGCAGGCTTTAAAAAAAAAGGTTCCCGGCCCGGGTGGATGGTTCCCTCCTCGGTGTGGGCTTCAGCCGCTCTCTGCCCGGCCCAGTCCAGCTCCCCAGCAGCCCCGTCCGGCCATGTGATGGGCTTTAAATCCCCCAGATTAAAAAGTTCCCAACAACAATGGACTTTTTCTCTGGGATGGTCGGAAACAATGCCCCGGCGTGCCGCTGGGAGAGGCAGAGCTCTCCCAGTAAACAGAACCCAGCACACGAAACAGCCCCCCGTCAAAGATAATAATACCAGAATGTTTAGGAAAAGAAGGTCTGGTTGAAGTCCATTACAAACATTAGCATCTATACATACAACCAAATACTTTTAAAGCGTACCAAGCAAAGTCAGATTTGGAGGACTTTTGTGATTAAAATCAAACAATAATATTCCAGCCCAAATCACCTTAGAAAAAAATAGCTAATTTACTAAACTGGTTTTACAATTTTTGACCCATTATTTATTTTGTGATTCTGTTTAAACTGAGGATGAAAACTATGAACTTTGGACAGATGCTCTTGTCCTTCTAAATGAAGAAGTATGCAGCATGAACACATTTCCAGGTAGTAACCCTGCAGCACAAATTCTTCTGGATATGATTAATTTGGCAAAATTTGAATGAAAAATGCTCATCAGAGTTGATCAGTACCAAGAATATCAAAAATGCTTCAAGCCAAAAAAAAGAAAAAAAAGAATGAAGATATGTCTCCAGTTGTCTTGTGGTTTAGATAAAGCTCTTGGCTGCATTTAAAAGTAATCTGACAGAAACCTGTGTGCACGTATGATAAAACCCCTGCGTCTTCTTTTAGATTACCCTAGTTCTTATGCTGTGATAGAGACAGCTATCCTCATGAAGTGATTAAAGGATTACGCCGCACTTCTTCTCAACAAACCATCCGATTGTCATCTGAGAGAAAGCTTATGAACCCAGAGGTGCAAAATAAATAACAAAAAAGAAATAATTGGCTAGTAGCGGATTAGAAAGTGAACTGTGGCCACGTGCTGGGTGTCAGAGGGGGCAGTGGATTCTTCTGGGTTTAATGGCTCCACTACAGCAAACTTTAGAGGACTTTGCAGCAGAGCGGCCTCCTTATCAAACAGTACCTGTTCTTTGGTAATATTCCTTATTATTTTTTTGTCCAGCTCCTCAAACTCTGACTATTAATGAGCGGCCCGGGGACACTTTCTTCTTTGACTTCCCTTACAGAGCGGCCATGATTAGAAACGATTAACATGTCTGAAATCGAGATGATTTAATCAAACCAGCAGGAATATTTAGTCACATTGCTGAGGCCACAAGCACCCTGACACATTAAAAACCAGAGACCTGTGTTACAAAGGTCTTATTGTTCGGGTAAAGGTTGGGGAGTCGGTGGAGAGGTAAAGGTGTAACCCTTATTCTGGTGAGATGTAGATAAGACTGCAGCTATAAAGGCACACAATGTGAACAACTGCTCTCACACATGTACACTGACCATGGAGGCTATTTCTGAATCCGACAGCTTCACCACATGCTCTAAAAGGGTCGTGGCTGATCTTGTCGAAAGCAGAAGTGAGAAGTTTCAGGAAAATGAAAAAAAAAAAAAGTGGACTCGAACGCATGTAGTTCTCAAAAGCACCCCCTTATCTCGCCACGGCTTCTATTTTGTTGTTTTTTGTTTTTTAAACAGCAATTCCGCTAAACGTGCGAGTTGGGGATGCGTTCCCGTCCTCGGCCTCCGCGGCCACGCCGTGCACGCCGTTGCAGAAAAGTGGAGAAACGGGCAGCTGCGTGGGCGCCACACCTTGGAAAGAGCGAATTTCCCCTTTGCTGCGGGTGAAGATAGCTGTGTTTACAGGTGGAGGTTTTGCTCGGTTCTCCTTCAGTCGACGGGGCCGGGCGCCTGAATCCTGGAGGTAAAGGCTGAAGCCTGCAGGGAGGTTGCTGCCTGTTGCATCAGATGCTCACTTTGAGACTCCTCGTGGGGTTTCAAACTAAGTGTGTGTTGACATGTGCGTCTCAGTGTGTGTCTATGGCAGAGGGAGGGAAACGGAGCCGCCATCCACACTTACACACAGATCACCTGGGCTAATAATTTGTCACCCTATTATTTTTAGGAGTACATTGTTTCACTGCCCCAGAATAGCCGATAATGCTGCTCATGCAGTGATTCACTTAATACCGCTAAATATATCAGTTGACTAACAGCGTGTCTGCCCTCCGTTTGTGAGTTTGCTTTTGATATTTAAATTTCGCCTTGTTTGTCACACCGCACACGTTACATCTGGGCTTTTATTGATGATAACCAGGGAAGGCGACAAGCATTCAGGCTTGCAAACCTTCATGATTGCAGCACTCTAACAAAAACACAACTCACGGCCTCAAACAGTGTTAAAAGTTGGTGAAGATCACAACAGATCTCAGCAATAAGATGACTTTATCTTTCTGACCAGCTGACAAAATGGAAGAGGTTCTACACACTAGTTAAATGTTATGTTCTATGAACGTCCAAAAGATGCATCAGAGGAGAGAATAACTGACTAAATGAGTTTTTCATTCATTATTTAAGTGTTTTTGATGCAACAGCGAGTTCTTCAAGAGCAATGCTCAAAGATTTTTTAAAGAATTTGATTGATTTTTTTAAATTAGATCCCATTTTCTTTTGATGGCCTCTAAAGTAAACATGAGTATTCTCAAAAATCTTCCATGACATGCTAAAAAAAAAAACATGCATAATGTCACTAAATGTAGACGTTTTCCTTTCACCAGGGGTGTAAGATCAAGAGCACACGTTTTTGGTTTTCCTGTAGTTAAAGTGTGAGATCATCATCTGAAACAAAACAGAGCACAAACTGCTTCATCTTTCTGGCTTCTCCTCCTCCAATGTTTGCTTTTCAATGATGGAACCTTTCATACTTTCTGGCTCGCTCAGCCTCAGATATTCGGTTTCAAAAGGTCTGAGGAGAGAATCATACTGAACATAATCAACGCTCACGCCCCAGTCCAAAGTTCACTTTCTTCCTACCGACAGAGTCTACGTGTTTTGAGTCGGTGGGTTGTTGAGCTAACTGCGGGCCGAAGACCAGCTCATGAACATTTCAGACCTTGTGTTTCTTGAATGTCCAAAAAAGCAGCGCGCACAAGCGCCTGCAAACCGTCGCGCTGCATTTAAGAAACCCCAAAGTGGGAAGAAAACCTGAGAGCAGAGAGTCATGACAATAACAGTGGTGGCGTTTTCAGAGGTTTTTCTGCCACAGACGGCTAATTCTAGAGGCCGACCTCGCAGCGTTCTGCTGTTATAAAACCTCTCTGCGGCAGGTTTATGACCCCACACCTCAAACCCTGCAGCGGTCGGGCCAACGGTCAGAGGTCCTGGATGAAGTTCTCACACCCCAGCAGACCCAGAGCAAGAAGCCGTTGGCTGAGAGGTTGAGTGACCGTACGGCCAACATTAAACGGACACTTCTCGGCCGGTCAACGGACCATGCAGAATGGTCACTTTTCCCTCAGCCCTTTGCCACGTTTTTCACTTCAGTAACACAAAATCCAGACTAATGTCCCTTTGAACAGGAAAATAATGCATCTTTGACTCTTTCTAAGTGACAGAATTCTGACTGAACATCAAGTTTTCATGAGTTGGATGTTTGATAGTCGTTTTTTAAATGGGGGTTGAAAAAAATGGAAGTTAAGAGGCCTATCACATCTGCATCAGGTCTCCATTTGTGTCTTTTTCACCAAAAGGAGATTCACTAAAAAATAAGCCCTCCGGTCCAACATCTGATCTGAGGATAACAGAACGTTTTAGTGGAACTTATCACCAAGTGGCCCAGTTTCCAATTGTGAAATCGCCAGCAGCCCCTTTGGCGCTCACGAGGGCGGATGAGAGGCGGAGGATGGCCACTGGAGCGTGTCCAATGGCACGAGCGGGGAGGCGGCGTGTGGTTTACAGAGGGAGGCGGGCGCGCGGCAGCAGCCAGCTGTTGGAGAGCAGCGCGCTGTGCTCCTCAGCCATCCGCCGCGTCTGGATCAGGTGAATATCTGCTCATCAGCGCAGGACCACAGCGAACCGGGGGGAAAAAAAAAAAAAAAAACCCCCCCCATTCCTTATAGGCAACTTGGAGACTTACATTGATCAAGTGAGTGAGTCAGTACGCGGGCCGAGTGCGTAAAAAGAACTTACTGAGAACTGAGGACATCGAGGAACAGGTGAGATCAGATGTTCTGTTTTTGCCTTTAAGTGTGCTTGCATGTTTCGCCTCCCAACACACACATATCTACATATATTTATATGTGTGCGTGTGTATGAGTACCTTCGGTTTTTGAGTCAAATGAGCAGTGTTTCCTGGGGCTTCCTGTGTGGAACATTTCACGACACAGCTGTGAGTCTGGTACCTGTTGCTGCCTATATGAAGCTATATTAGACAGGGGGGGCTTGGCAACTCGGGGACAGACGGGCTATTCTTAAACGGCCTATTTTGAATGAGGTAAACAATTCATTAGGCCCAATTACGCACAATTATTGCAGCTCATCATTTGGAGCGTTTTTACTTGTGGAGTAGGATCAGTGTACAAAATCTGGGCTCTTTGGGAAGTCCACGCAACACCAATGAATTCTACTGTGTGAATATCTCAGCTCCATGATCAATGTTAAAAATCTCTGTCTATATATAAATCATTCTAGCATGGATTCCTGAAAAATGGTTTTGCTTCTATTTATATGAAGATCAGATGTCCAGTTTGTGCCTTCAGTAAATGATACCCTAATCAAAAATATCAAGGCAATTCAATTATCTCTTGTTAAAATTAGACAAATATTTCCCCACCATTTCTCGGCGAAGGGCCTGTGATGAACTGTCTGACCGTGAAGATGAAGCGAGCACACAAACTCACACACACACACACACACACAAACACACTTGCAGACTTGTATCCTCTCCCCTTCCCTTCGTAGTCTGGTTCACTTGATTATATTTAGATAACTATATTTCATTAATTAATATGTTTATTTTCTTTTTAGCTGGATTATGGTGGCACATGAGATCCATCCTGATGGACCATATTGTGTGACGTTATAACTCTCAAACTAGAGGCATATTTCACTCATTTTTGGAGGGTTCAGCTTGGTCTCAGTCTTGCACGTTAAGTTCAGGTTGGGTGAGAGTTCATTATATTTCAGACTGGTTAAAAACAAATGGGAGTTGTTTTTGTTTTGTTTTTTATAGTTTTAGGCCGAGTTAGTCCTCAAGCTTTTTTTCTTTTTTTGTGTCTTTACCAAAAGTCCTTCAGATCATCACAATAACTTCTTTTTCTGTGGTGTGTGACAGTAGTCCATCTTACAGGTGCAAACCTCAGTCACATGATCGAAGCGTATAGAAAAAAGGACCATTTTATTCTACCGCACAGATTTTTTCACTGATATTTTTACTTCCAATTCTATTTAGTGATATTAAAAAACTAAGATGGTGTTCTATCTGTGGTTGTTTCTGGTGTCGTAGTAGTGGTTAACAGTTGCCTGGGATGAAATTTGTTCACACATGGTCACCGTGACTCATGGAAAGAAAACCAATGAAGCAGATCCCCCAATACTTTATAAATGCACGACTTTTTCCCCCTTGTCATTGATGCGTAAGACAAACGTAAAGCAAGCCAACACACACGACACTGATAGGTTATGTTACAACATCTGGACAAATCAGGGGAAAAACACATTCTGTGTGTTTTTTTTTTTTGTGCATGTTTGTTGTTGTCGTGGCGACGTCCTCTGTGAGTACTCGGAGGATCCCAGGGTATGTCAGAGAGCAGAGCCGGTGGTACCCGACTATGTTTCTGCGCTCAGTATTGGCCTCTGTCTCCCACTTGGGAGGGCATGTGGATGAGCTCCTGTCTTTCCCTGCAGGAGCCCCAGGGGCAACGGTGGACGTGTGCAATTATGGCACAACATCAGCGATTGTGTTTGGCTTTAATTTCTCAACTCCATTAGCAAAAAAGGGGCGATTAAAACGACGCGCCTCTCCATATTTTGTGTCCATTTGCTCCGTGAGACGATGAGTTCATGAGGTCACGAGGGGAACCTGCATGCGGCTGCCTGGCTGGTTTAATACGGAGACCTCAAATGACAGTTGTCATACGGGAAAACGTGTAAAATAAGCTGTTAAGCACAGCAAGGCTTTTCCTGCCTGTCTCCGCCTTTAGGCTTTTGACAAACCGGCGAAACCACAACAAGCTCCACTAACTCAGTGCAGTTCGGGTGGATGCACAGCTATATTTCATACGGCATGCCTGTTGAGCTGATAGTTGTCATTTGGTTATTTCGTAGACAAGAGGAACCTCCTGTGAACCTATGAGATAAAGATCTTTCTGCACTGGTTAGAACACGTCCCACTTCCCTCTATTCTTGCCATAAATGTCTTAATACAAGGTGAAGTAGTCTACCTTCTGGTCCAAAGATACCAGGACAGTTTGATCTCATCTACTGTGAAGCTAAGTTGTGTTTGTAACAGACAAATGATGGGTAATGCGGCGCCATTCGTCCATCACGTGCCGTGTTTGACCAAAGCGACAGTGGCCAGGATGAGTTTATCTGCAGCTGCCATTGTTGAGGTTTTCTCCAGTCTGCAGTTAAGCGCAGCCGTTTTTTTAAATCAAACTTTATAAGGTAATAGTGGGGGAGAAGAGGTGGATTCCACCAGAAATGACCTAGATGCCTGTATGCCATGCTCATGTTGAGGGACAACGGGTACTTCAGAGGTCGTGGGAACTTGGGCGCCATATCCGCTCAGGCAGCATCGGCAGGGGCAGACGACTAAATATAGAAAAGTCCAATAAATGTTCAGAATTAAGGGGAAAACCAGTGAAAAGTCCTCTGGGCTTTGGAGACGCACTGTGCGCTCAGGTCAAAAAAGGAAGACAACCACTTATCAAGAAAACATTCATAAAGAGCATATTTACGTGTGCATTTGATTCAGTTTGGCATGGTTTTAAAGAACAGCGTTTTACCTGCAGTCTGCTTAGCTACAGAGAGTTTAGGTGAAAATATTCTAACGATTTGTCTGCATTTTGGCCCAAACGAACGGAGAAAAACAGAAATTCAGGGGGTGTGAGTCTCAAAACATTCTCAAGCGAGCCACATCCACGTCTGAAAAATCTGCCCCTCCAAAAACTGCTGGTTCTCTGACCTGGCTGTGCATGAGAGAAGAGTGGGTGGCTCTCAGCATCAGCCATCTTTCAAAAACACACCGTTTTCCTTCTAATGTTTGGTTTCAGCTACTGCCCGCCGAACCTTTAAAAGGAGCCCTGGACTGTATTTTTAACCCTGTCTCTCGGGGGCCTCGTGGTGCAGTTGAGCCCTGTGCTGCCGGCCCGGGGGTAACCCAGACTGCAAGTGTGTCAGTCTATGTGGACCGATGTCCCGGCAAGAGCCGCTCTAACTTTAGACCGCATCGCTTCATGGTGGTAAAAATAAACCCCCTGCCCTTACCAAGAGGAAGAGACCTGAGTCACTTTAACTGTTTGGGGGGACATTTTTCCACCAGAACTGCACAAATATCGGACGTTCATTCGACATTTTCGCCTTTTAAAAACAACTATAACGCGGGGAAATCATTTAACTTTCATTCAACAAAGAGTTTGAACGCTTTAAATGTTGAATATGTTTTTCGCGAGCATCCAGGCCCGGACACGCTGTGACATAAGAGCAGTGAGCACAGAATATGCATGCACAGTAATTATTTTCAAGCACACATAAAGAGGAATCTGGAGAAATCTGTAATCTGTAACCATCACAGCTGCGGAAACACAAAATCAACATATTTAAATGTCACAGCATTCATACACCAAACAGGGGCCGCTTAGCCATAAAATTTGCATTCATGGTTAATTTGAAATGTTATATCTTTACTAACAGTGCCAAAATTCTGATTTATTTACAATGAAGTGAGTGCTAGTCAACAAGCCTTGTTTTAGTGCCTCCTTCTTTATTTCACAGCTTTCGTTAAGAGAATTTGAAGAAAGATGGGAAGAAAGAAAATTCAGATTTCTCGTATTCTCGACCAGAGGAACCGACAGGTGAGTCTACACACATTTCACTTTCACGACACATTGTTTTGTTGTATTTCAGAAATTTTACCGGATAGGAGGGCTTCAGGTTTTTGAACAATTCATGAGAATGAAAGTCCTCATTTAAGGCTGTGGAAAGTCCTGTTAGGCACTGGTCAACTGTTTTCCCACAGATTTGAACATAAAGTGGTGTTCGTAGACAGTCCGAAAACAGTCCAGTCTTTAGTTTTCCCTCAGACCGTCGCGCTCTTACAGTTATTTTCATACTTTGATACTTTTGTACTTCAAGGGAGTGTGTACTTTAATAGAAGCCATAATATTCTCTAAATCCTAAATTCCATGTTTTAAATACTTAAAGATGCTCTTATCTTTAATCATGTTTTTTATTATAAATCTTAATCCAGAAGTTTTCTATGAGTAGTAAAGCAGCGACTAGATTAATAAAACTTTCTAAAATGAGTCTGTGTAACTGCATGGATTTTTTGCAGGAACACAAAAAAAACAATTTGTAGTTTATGTTTATTTGACATTGTTCTACGTAACTTTATATTTTCTACGCATTGCATTTTTCTCTCTGTTTTTCTGAACACTTAGTTTATCATTAATATTTTGTTACTGCAACCCCCTGTTTTGTTCTTACACAGCTTTTCGTCATAGCTGCTCACTCAAACATGTTTATGATAAATTTTTGTTAAGACTGATAGAAATAATTAGGAATATTTTGATTTTTTTTTTTACATTTACTGAATTAAATTAATTTAATTCATGAATGCAGGAAATTCTAAAAAAAAATCATCAGTTTAGATATTTCATCATTTTAATCTAAACACCGGATGCAAAACAGTTCAATGAATAATTATAGTCCTGGCAAGCATTTTTAAGAATGAAAACTGTTGTTAATTTGAAAACACACAGTAAATCATGATTCTCTGATCCAGAGATGTATTCAAAACTCTTAAAACTCCAAAAGACGATTTTTCTCTCTCCAAAGGAACAAAGTGAATCAAGTGCAGACAGAAAAAGAGGAAACACGGTTAAAGTGACTTTTACAGTTGAGGAAGCTTTTGACAGCATGATGTGTCCAATGTGTGAACCGATTGCACATACTGTTCATTCATCATGATGTTTTTCAGAAAGATGTGAAAGCATTAGATGTTGAATGGTATTCAAAGAATGTTACACTACATCGATATCAATATGAAACAACACACAGACCTGAAGTTTTTCACTATTAATATTAGACTAATATTACATATTTTCGCTACTAATGAAGGAGATGGAATTTGATTTCATTCTGATGACACCAACGATCCTATTTTCAAATCTGTTGCTCCAGGTGACCTTCACCAAACGCAAGTTCGGCCTGATGAAGAAGGCCTACGAGCTGAGCGTGCTCTGTGACTGTGAGATTGCCCTCATCATCTTCAACAGCACCAACCGCCTGTTCCAGTACGCCAGCACCGACATGGACAAAGTCCTGCTCAAGTACACCGAGTACAGCGAGCCGCACGAGAGCCGCACCAACACAGACATCCTGGAGGTATCTGAGCTGCTTCAGCTGTGATGTTTTGTGACGTGCAGATAAAAATAACGGCCGTCGGGTCGCGTTGGAGGGGACACAGAGCTTGAGGTTTTTCAGAAAAATCCGCATCGACCATCGGCCGTCTTGCTTTTCAGAGTCGAGCTAAACCTCAGGCCTTTTGCGCTGCGGTTCATTTTGGACCTGTGCTCTGTGTTCCGCCTCAGACCTTGCGCAGGAAAGGCCTCGGCCTGGACGGCTCGGAGCTGGAGAGCGAGGAGAGCGCGCAGGCGTCCGCCGACAAATGCCTCCTGGGCGAGGGAATGGACCTCTCTGTGGCCCGCCAGCGTTTCTACGTCAGTTTGCACACACACTTCTGCTTTTCCTTTTTGCACAGATTTGAAAAGACACCACCACATTCGCCTCGTAACATGGTTGCTGGTTGTGACGTTTTACCGTTTTACCCCCTCAGGGTCCTTCGCTGCTCTCGCAGGACGCGCAGTTCCTGGTGTCTGCGGGTTGTGAGAACGGTTTCCCCAACTCCTCAGCATCCAGCATGGCCTCCCACAGACCCCCCGGATTTAAACCTCTGAGCTCAAGGCCGGGCTCAGCCAGCCCCGCTGGGCCACATGCACACCCTGCATTCATGTCGCCGCATGCAGGTGAGCCCGGCACGTCCAGAAGAGAAAGATGTACCTTAGTTTGTCTGCAAAGGGAAGGTGTCAATTAAAAGAAGTGCTTTAAGAAGTTTATCCAGAGGTCCAGGTTGAAGTCTAAGTGAGGGGTCAGTATGAGTTAAATACTGTGTGTAAACTCTGTCGAATGAAAAAGATTCTGTGTAATTCATTGGCATGGAGAATGATGATTCAAACCCATCAGTTCCATAATAGCTTGCATAGCTGGTTTTTATACATACTGATGAATAAAGAATTTTCGAATTTTTGAGTTAGAGGCAGGTTTTTCAGATTGTAAATCCATCTGCTTCTCTTTTAGTTTCTCACCAGAGCTCGCTGTAAAATTCACAAGTGCACCATCTGTGCAGCTGGCTGTGAACTCACAGGAAGTGTGTACGCGCGTGTGTGTGTGTGTGTGTGTATGTGTGTGTGTGTGTGTGCGCGAGTGTGTAGGTTCACTATTCCTCCCATGCAGTCACCCTGTTTTGTGAAACTGGCCCTCCACCAGTGTGACAGCAGCTCTAACCAGTTCTGCGGTTTCCAGACAGAATGTGTCACACTTGCCCATCGTGGCCACCTTCTTGTTGAGGTGTTTGGATGGATAACTCTGCCATCAGATATCCCTCATCCGTTATTATAAAATTCCCCAAAACAGCCTTAAAAGTTTGCTGAGTAATGACAGATTTTTGATCGGCAGAGAATTGTTTTTAGCCAATTGACTCACACACAGAAATATCTGATGAAACTCAGTCTTGTGGAAAATTGATTTCCAATACAGCAAAAATGAGCTTTTTGTTAAACTTCTAGAGGCCGATGAATGCACAAAAAGCACACAAAATAAAACAGACCTTGCTTGTTTTTCCCACTTCCTGCAATTCCATTTCTCCGTGTAGGTATCGGCTACTCTGTGTTCTCCCACGGCAATCTGAACCGAGCTCTGGACATGAAAACCCCCCCTCCTCTGAGCCTGGGCACTGAGAACCATCGGGCAGAGGCTGTTAATCAGGCCATGGGGGGCGCGCGAGCAAACCACAACGCTGCCGTGAGTAGCTGTTTTACTATCCAGTACGATGAGCACAAATAGTTGTCACGCATTTAGCACCAGGTGCACGTAGAGGAGTGGAGTATTGCTTCTCTGGATGGATATGCTAACACACACATACACACACACACTGTCCTGCAGACCCGTAAGAGTAACTTCAGAGCTGTTGTTTTGTTTTTTTTCTTTGCGTTCTGACACACTCACACCTCTTACCACTGAATGACATCACTGTGTTAAGACAGTTTTGAGATTCTCTGTATGACTGTTTCCATCCCTCATATCGTCAGCGGGGCCTCTTGTACCAGGGCCTGCACAGCAGCAGCTCCATGGTGGCCATGGGCAAGGCAGGGTTCCTGAGTCACAGTCTGGGAGGCTATGGCCTTCCCTCCCCAGGAGCCTCTGGTATGTGCACACTAAATCATCTTCTTTGAGGCAAATATACTACTCCAGTTACATAATAGACACTGGTTGGTGAATTAACAAATATGGAATGAAATGAAAACAAATTCATCTTTTGTGTTTCATGTTGTGTTAAATAAAGGTTTGGCCTGAAGGTGTGCCAAAGCTCTTCCAATAGGAGGCCCCACTTTGTAGCTAATTAAAGGTCAAATGTTAAAAATCCTGTATGGGAACAGGTGTTGCTCTAAAGTTGGGATATACCTTTACTGATGGTTTCTTACGAGGTGTGCGAGTAACAAACTTAAAAGTGTTCCCAGTCAATCAGAATCACAGGCTTTTTAAACTGAGCGTCAAAATCTTACTAAGATTTAATTATTTTTTTCCTATGACAAAGGAAAACAACCGTCCCTCAGTTAATCTTGAGGAAGATGGCAGAAATTCTGGAATTCTGGATATTAATGGAGCTTCATCCTGCATTTGTCTTGGTGATTTTCTGTCATTAGCACACGTTATGTCTCCAAATTCTCTCAATCTTTTGATAACTTTACACAGTGCAGGTGATGGAATAGTCAGCCTGGTGCCATTTTACTTTGAGGAACATTTGCTCCGAGTTTTTTACACACTTCCTGCCCATATTTACATCTGAGTTATTTCCTCTGACGTGTATTTTGTTACTGATCATGTTGCCCGATAGCTTTATTAGCTGCAACGTGTGTATTCAGATCCCTTATGCATCTGTTGCTCCCATACAAACATTGTTTGCAAGTAATAGCTAAAAAGCCAAAGCTCTTCAGAAAGTATCATTTTAAAACATGGCTTCACTATTATGCTGGGGAATAGAGGAATTTGTGTGTGAAGCATTTAAAGTTTTACAAATCGATGTTGTTTATGAAGTTGGAATTCCACAGCTTTATTTGGCATGTTTGTTGGATTTGAAATAATGGTATCATTTATTGGTTTTCAGTGGAGACCTCATGGCCCTCTCGCCTCCCACTCGTCTGTCTTTTAAATGTTATACTCTCACACCACAGGCCATGCCAAATGACTCAGAGAAGTACTCTGCATCAGCTATTGTGATGCCTCATTTAGATCAAGCTGCCCTACACGAGGCTTAGAGCAGAACCACGAACAAAACCATCTTCTTCTTCACAGAGGTCACTTTCAAGCTGTCTCGTTTGTTTTCAGGCTTTTTCTTCTTTCGTTCGCCTTCGTCTTCATAAAAACATTTGCATAATGTCTGCATGGTGGCCTGTTTATGAAACCTTTAAAAAGAAAAAGGGTATGTTTTAGTCGTGAAAAGAAAGAAGACCCCATTCAGAAGTATTAAAATCATGGCTGGGACGTTTGACAGCCCTCACACACTCGCTGAGCTGTGATGAGCGTCTGGTGGCCACAGCAAACTGATTCATGGCTGCTACTCAGACACCTTTGGATCATTTTGTTCCTGTGAGAACCTGCCTGGAAGCAAAAAGACTTTTCGACCAGACCTAAAAAACAAGTTAAAGTGATAATGATGCAAAATCATTTTTACTATCATTAGTAGCAATAACGAAAAAAGATTAATAAAAATAAAGCATATAGACATGTTCTAGTAAACCTTTAATCTACCAGAAAAGCTTTGTACAATTAGATCATTTACACTAAAAAATATTCTCAGTCTCTCAGGTCTTTTAAAGCATTGCTTTGGAAATTGGTGGAATAATATGAAGTGAGATGATGGATGTCTGTTTCCTTAAGAATAAAACTATGAATAAAGCTACTGAATCAGATGATGTCACAGATTTGCAGTCACAGCATCACCTTACTCTGCCTAATCTTACCTGTGACAGTAGAATCCTACTCCCAAGTCTAAAAAGTGACAAAGAAAACAGATCTTCTCATTTTCTTAAACAGGATAATACAGTTTTATTCTCAATAAGCCCCCAGAGCTTCTGCCAGTGTTCTGGTGCCTTGTGGGAGCCGAATCTAATAGCTAAAGTCAGATAGAAACAGTTCAACACGTTCATGTTCAGATTTTTCCAGATATCCCGGCTATGATGGACTTATGTGACTCTCGGTATGGTCAGCAGGCTCTCCAGGGTTGAAATGGACTCTCTTTATTAACTGAGGTTGATTTGTTCAGATCCATTTGTCAAAGGTTTTATTTAACATCCATTTGTGTTGATTTGTTTCAGAGTACAGCCAGCCGGGGTTTTATCACTCCGTGAGTTTACAGCGAGGGACGGCAAACCCCTGGCAACCAACACACCCACACCAGGAGCCCCATGGAGCCCATATCAACTCAGGGTGAGCAGATTGACATGTGACTGTAAATAAAACACAAGCTTGAACTCACCCCTGTTTACTAGATGAAAGACTTTTTCTAAGACTAGTATATTAAGAAAAGAAAATGTACCAAAAGGTCCTCTATCTCATCCTGACAGCAACACAGCTAATCAAAGCAAACACTGTCAGGTCAGTTAAGAGTGAAAAAAACTATAATTAGTCCAAAAACAATAACAAGAATTTCTAAATCACCAATATTATGCAAGGCAAAGCAACTTTTTTGTTCCTGTGATCATTCTGGTTTACCAAGGGATGACGGACAATAATAGAGGCAATCGAACACATTTGTATTTCAATTAAGGTTAGTTTGATGTAGATTTTAATAATATGAAAATCGCCATTCATACATACATAACAGACATATCTTACAGAAAGGAGAGGAAATAAAATAGATAGAAATGTTAGATGTTTAAAAACTAATAAATTCAACATTAGATAAAGAGTACTAAATGAGTTTACCTTTAGTGGCAAGACTTGCTAGAATGTCATTTGAGGATTACTATTATAGTGAGTAATGCCCCCTTAGATTTCACATTTGTGTTCTATACTTTGAGACGTTTCCATTGAAATCCATTTATAGAAAAAAATAACCAATTGGTATGTATTAGGATAATTTTTTCATCTGTTTCTGATGCCCCCTAAGCATTCATTCAGGTTTATTGATGTTTTCTTCTCTTTTCCTGCTCTCCCTAGGATGTCCAGTGGGGGGTGCTCTTTCCCCTCTCAGTCTTGCTCCTCAAACTCTCCCCACCTGCCCTCCCTCAACCTCAGCATCAAATCGGAGCGGAGCTCTCCGGAGCACATGCCCTCCCCCTCCTCCCCTCCCCTCCACCACCTCAGCAGGAATTCTCCAATGAGCAACCCGGATTCGGCCCACCGCACCCCGCCGGGGGGCCAGTCGTCCGGCGGGGCCAAGGAGTTCCTCAAGGCCAGCTACCCGCCGGACGAGGAGGCAGGGGGGCAGCCGCTCAGGCCGCTGGAGATGACCGACGGCTGGCAGAGATAGCCGGACGTCCGCCAGCTTCTACCGGTCAGCGGCGACCCCCAAAGCCCCCCCCCCCCCATCCCAGAGCCAGACGCCCCTCTCTGTCCCCTCACAGAGCCGGTCAGTCAGAGAAGTCTCCTCTGCTTCACTGGTTTTCGCCCGTGAGGAGGCCCGATGAGGAGACTGATGAATACAGACCTTCCCTTTGTTTAGTTTTTTGTTAGATTTAGTTTTTACTGTGTGTTGAAGCGAAATACAATCTAAAAAAAAAAGAAAGAAGTTTGTTTTGTTCTGTGACTTTGTTGGAGTTATCTACGGCAGGGCAGAGGGACCAACTCAGTTTGTGTAAAAAAAAAACATCTGCAAGCTTTAAGAGGTATGAATATATAAAAGCATACGATGCTGTAATAAGCCATATAGTAGTCAGCTGTCCCTGTTGGTTTAGTCAAATTTATCTGGTCAGTGAAAACGAGACAATTCTCATCATTTTTCAGGTCTGTTTTATGAAAAACTTTCTTAATCCCTGTAATTTTCTCCTTCTTTGTATAAAAGTCTTAGCTGAATTCTAACAAGATCTTTCGGGGTATTAAATCCACTGTCTTTATTGTATCTGGAGAGAAGATCCACATTGAAATGAACATATGGAGTCATCAATAAGAAAAATGCATTTGGAAGTATATTTACTTTCTAAATTGTTCGGATTTTTCCAGGATGTTTGCTGGACTTGTTTAACGTATTAAGTTAATTCTGGTGGGAGATGTGTCATAAAATCCTTTTGAGGGCAAAAATGAAGGCTCATACACAGAATGTCTGTATAAGAAACAGTGTGCCATAATGCAAACCAACAGTTCAGAGACAATTTCAAATATTTTTTATTTGGTACCATATGAATTTGAAAAACCAGGATCCTGCTCTATAATCAGACGGCATACCTTTATTCGCAGACCCTGTCTTAAACTCTAAGGAGCCCTTATTGGGTTTATATATATATATATATATATTTGGAAGGAGAAATTTACAGCAGCCCAAGATGTTTTTTCAGAGTTCGTATCGACGTGTTGAACTAAAGGAGACAGACAATTGTAACCCCGTGTCTGTGGTTGACTTGTTCATATCAAGCTTGTTTTAAGCTTTTTTTGTTTTATTCCTCCATATGATAGTGATCATTTTTACTTTTCAAAAATGCGTGAGCGACATCCCTGCAGTGGTTTCAAATCCTGCAACAACCAAAGATGTTCCTGTTGTTTTATATTTGATCCATTTTGGCCTTTGTAACATGACGTTGCACTTCATGAAAGATGTGCATGCCGTAGAACCAGCCCACAATGCTCAGAAATATTCTAAATAAATGCATCTTAATATTTGCAGCGCGTTTCACTAAAGGGACATCTGTTTAACTATAACTAAGCGTGTGCCTTATTGATTCATATTCAGGCTCCGTTGTGCACTAAGTAGTGTCATGCTCCTTCCACTTATCGTCCTCTGGAGGTCTGGAAACAGCTTACTGAATGGGACTAAACGTGTAGAGAAGAGCAGCTTTCACTACAGATGATTTTACCGATTATTCATCCAGTAAATCTCTGAGACAGGACTGAAGTTTAGCTGGATGGGAACGCATCTGGAGGAACTCTGCAGGGATTCAGCGGGCCGGCCGGCAGAGGTCGACACACCCGAGCTCTGCTGTAGAAATAGTTCTCTTTTCATTTACTTTTTCCTATAAAAGAGTGGAAGTGAACATTATCAGTATTTTTAAATTACTGCTTATTTTGTCATGTTTGCAGAACTCTTTGTTGGCAGTACAGAAATTGATTTTTATTCATTTTGTGCGAGGCCTTTTGAACGGTAACAATAATAATAAGAAGAATAAAAAGAATTGTTTGTAACTTTGCCCTGGCCTGGTTTTGATTTTGTTTCACATTCAATTTTGGTTAAATTATGATTATTTTTAAGAAAACATGAAACACTTGATTTTTATTTTTTTTATTTTTTAAAGGCTAGTAGCTTTCATGTGTCCTCTCTTTTCTTTTTCACCTTTGTTTCATCTTTTGAACACACACTCCCTCATTATCCCCGTCGGGCCGGCAGCTCAACACGCCGCCACCAAACCAGACCAACAAGAAAGGAGCACTTAAAAGCTTGCGGACCTTTATGTCTTGAAAAGAAAAGGGGAAAAAAAAAAAAAAAACTGCATAAAAAGGCCCATTTGCACAGCTGGTTGTCTCCCGAGTAACTACGCCGGAGCATTTTCATGTGCCACCCCTATGGAGCACTCACCTTCTTTTTCATTTCAACTAACGGCCAAAGGAGAGAACATGGAGCTCAGAGCCCCGATTCTGCCGCCCCCCCCCTCTAAATAAAAAGGCTGTCACGGGGGTCATGACTTGTCGGCTCCCTTGAGAGCCGGCCCGGCCCAGTCTGATGGTCATGTCTGAGTCCTGCACACACACACACACACATACACACATCGTGGTCTCTATAGCAACCACTGGCTGGGCATGCTGCAGACAGAGGAAGTCTGAGGCCCTGCAGCAGAAACCTGATTATACGAAAGCGTCCATCCTGATGCTTATTGGCAAATTAAGCCAAACACTATCTCAGGTCCAGCCAGGGCTGACCGGGGCACACCGTCAATAAAAAAAAAAAGAAGTCAAACCCTCCAATCCGCTAAATGATGCAGCTAAAACATAATCCAACACAGACACAAAAGCTGTCTAGAAATCCTAACACCTGATTGTTTTCCGCTGAGAATGAGAGGAGGAGTCGGTCCCTCCCAAAGTGGGAGGACTTTTTGTGAACGTCCATCGGCCGTGGAGATCTAATGACATCACCCCGGGAGACGTTCCGGGTCTGAGTCGCCACACTTCTCTGGTCCGGTGGCCGACAGTGTCCGGTGACTTTTTTTCAGCATGATGTTGTCGAGTCGAATGGGATTTCCAAGTAAAGCTCCTGAAAATAAGTTGATACAATTATGGAGAGTGACCCACAGACTGTTCTCTCGCAGGCTGCCGGGGGGGCACCGGGTTCACAGGGATCAGCGGTGATGAAATAATGATCTTCTCAGGGGGTTGGGGTCAGAGATCGGGACCCCGAGCAGCGGCTAGACAGCGGCATTGTGACGCACAAACTCTTTTGTCAAACGGGGCAGCAGCTTCTTCAGAGATGTTTGATCGGTGGAATCTCCCACGCTCCGAGAGGAAAGGCGGAATTAAGTCGAAACTCCTCCATTCCACCGAAAAGAGGACGGCTTTTGTTTTTAATTGAGTTGCACACGCATACAAAAAAAAAAAAAAAAAAACCCTCATACATCAGGGTTATAGCCACAAACAAAAACAAAAAACTGCACACCATGCATTCAGAAGATTTCACAGTAAAATGATCCAGGAAAAAAAACAACAACAACTAAATAATCACATGATAAATCAAAATCCAACTAAAATAGAAACATTAAGAATTACAGAATCTGTCTCAACTCTTGGTAACAAAAGGTTTTTTAGAGACAAGGTATTATAAATAAATAAATAGAAGGTAATGACTAACCTGCATGTGACTGACTGGCTGTAAAACTGTGGTTGCTTAAGCCAGTGTGTAAATGCATGAGAAGCATTCGTTTCTATGAATCTACCACACACATCTAAACGGGGAGGGGAGAGGCATGACTCAGAACTCCTCAGCTCCCAGGCACTTCGGAAACAGAGCAACAACTAGCTGGTGTTCGGGTTCCAAACACTCATCTCTACCTATGTGGTCAAACGTTACAGAAAAAGAAAAATAAGACAAAACATAGAGAGAGAGAAAAAATAAATCATTTAGCACTCTTGAATCGGTTCTTTGAGGGAAACAAATCCCTCGTATATAGCAACGTCTTTCTATTCAGGGAAGAAGGACTAAACTCAACCCTGGTACCATTAAATATCGTAAATGCAGCATTTTGACTACTTCTACGAAAAATAACACAAAAAAATAGACAACACTAATATAGATTTCTGTAAAAAGCTGCAGAAAAGGTTCTGGCTCTGGAGCTGGACGATGAGGCTGGGGCTTGTATGACAAAGTTCAGCTGGTCTGCGCCGCTCGGGTTTCCTGCCAGCGTGCGTGCAAAACGGGCCGACTTCTGCACCACAATGACACGCAAAATGACTCGGAACTCTCAACTCACAGGGCTTTACTAAAGAAAAAAAAAAGAAAGACAGAAGAAAGCCACTCTTCTGAAGTCCTGCTGACGTCTGGTGGCCTGCACACCATTCCACACAGATCCTACTCTAACTGCTGAATACCAGATTTGGCGGCTGTGTAGAACAAAAAAAGACTCACTTGGCTGTGAGCCGAGCACGAAGAAGATGGGTTGTTGCAAAATAGTTGTTCTCTGTGAGCAATGTGAACATTTACGGATTTCACATATCACATGACATAATATGGGACGTAAAAGACAAGTGGGCCCTTATCTCCGACTGCCAGGCTGAACGGCTGGACTCTCTTCCTTGTGAACTTTGGCTGAATAATTCAGCTGAGCACATGAGTTTAATGGAACATTTGCCCATTGGAGAAAAAAAAAATGGATAAAAAGGCAATTTTGTGGAAAAACCGAAAACAAACTAAGACGTGCATTAAAAACATCTCATCTAAAATCTAATCCTAAACTCATGCACATTCACGGCCTCCTGCTGAAGCCGTGCAAACCAGCGGAGGCTGCACGGCCTTTGAGATACAAGCCCCAGCCGGTTGTGTTACTGACACCAGTATCCCGCTGGTCAAAGCTGCAGCGGAGTCCAACCTGAATCAGACTCGTCTTACAAAATGAGGCATCGTCTGTTTGTTGGGGGGGGTTCTTACATGACGCGTCCTCTTTGCCGTCTGCCGGCCTCCTCTCACAGAGAGCTGCGGCTCGTCTCAGTTCTGCATCAGGTACTGGTGGAAGTAGATGCCGAACAGGGAGCTGATGACCTGGCAGGCCGCCACCCACCAGGTGAGAAAAGCGAAGAAGCCCCGGAGGAAGAGGGGGGTGAGGACGCAGCGCAGCGCGGCGAAGGTCTCCGACAGACGGGCCACCGTGGCCTGGATGTCCTCCTCCATGTCTTCCGCCCCCTCCTCGTCGTCGTCCACCCCCCCGGGCAGCACGGGGGCTGGCGTGGGCATCACCAGGGCCGGCGTCACCCCGGGGGTCTCCTCAGCCCCCAGCACCCAGGAGAAGTCCCCTGTAAGGGAATATGCACCACACCAACACCTCTGCTGAATTTCTGCATCAGTCATTTGGGCCTTTTGTGGGTTTTTGGCCATTTGATTGGGAAAAAAAATATTAAAACACTGAAGAAGTCTGGCTTTTTGGTGGCTTCTACTATACTTTTTACAGTCATAAAAAACATCTCAGCCAGAAAAGAAAAACAAACTTTACTTACCCAGCGCCTTAAGGGAGAGGGTGGAGAAGAGGATGAGCAGAACTGGAACCAGATACTGAAGAGTAACCACCGTCAAGTAGCAAAACACACGTGTGACCTGAAAAGCGTGAAGGTTTCATCACATTTTTCCTCTTTGCAGACATGACAAACATTGTAAACATTCTTAAACACCAACCTTCCTCTGGATGTCGATGGCGGCGATCCGTCCCGCCTCCTTCTTCATCTGCTCCACCCACTTCTGGGCCAGGTTGAGGTAGGCCTGCAGGTGGTAGCGGGTCAGGGCCAGCCGCAGGGCGCACAGCGCCACGATGACCCACAGGCGCACGCTGTCGAAGGCCCCGCTGGACACTCTGCAACCCGCAGGACAGGCAGCTGACCACCGCGGCCGCCACACGGAGGGCGGGGCCGGCGGCGGACGCTGGGGGGGGGGGGGGCGCACTCACAGTGTGACCGAGGTCTTCCCCATGGGCGCGTGGGCCAGGAAGTCCCTGGCGATGGGCTTCACCCACAGGACCACAACCACCACCGGGGACAGGAAGCTCATGTGCAGCAGGATCCTGCCGGGAGACACGGGACAGTCTGACCCCTGACAGGCCCGGATAAATGTCCGGCGGGGTTTGACCTGCCGACAGAGGCGCCCTTACTGGATGAGCGGGCGGTCCGAGTTCATCTGCACGGCGTCCAGGTGCGTCTGAGCCAGCCTGAGGCCGGGGAAGGCCAGCAGGGCCCCGATGTAGGCGCAGACGGCCGCCAGCCCCAGCTTCACCGTCAGCTTCGTCACCGGGATGCTGCCCACAAAACGGGCCAGACGGCAGCGTTTTACACCACGTCCAGAAGTTACGGAAGATAGGCTTGTCCTGATCCGATATTTGGATCGGATCGGCCACCGATATTTGCAAAAAACTGCGAATCGGCAGGCATGACAAAATGCCGATCCGATTTTTTTTTAAGTCCCATCCCACACGAGCATTAGCAGCTCCTAACCCACAGGTCTGTGTCCTAACCATTAACTATTGTTATAAGAGTAAATCCCTGTTCAACATAAGTCTGACAACTAAGTAAGTAGGCTAAATAATCCGGCCTATCAGAGCATGTATTAAAGTTTAATACATGCCTTGATAGGCTGGGATCGGTATCGGTCAGTATCTGTATCGGATCGGAAGTGCAAATACAATATCGGTATCGGATCTGAAGTAAAAAAGCTGGATCGGGACATCCCTAATGGAAGTGCCTGAAACCTGAGCTCAGCGCTTTGAAAGGCGGCGGCGGGCGGACACTCACGACCAGTCGGCGTAGCCCTGCTGCTTGACGAAGACTTCCAAATTGTCGAAGAGGCTGGTAAAGCCGGGCTCCAGGCCAAACTCCAGGTAGTCCTCCCTAACGACCAGCACCAGCATGGCCACGAGCAGCAACAGGAAGCCGAAGGCCAGGCACACCGAGCGCTCGCCACCTTCCTCCGAGCGGAAGTAGTGGCTCATCAGAGTGTGAAGGGCCTTTCTGAGGGCTCAGGTTAAGGGAGAGTGACCGGAAGGAAACCGTAACAAACACCAAACCTGAATCCCTCCAAGGCATTACGGAAAGACAATCAAATACAAACGAATGAGATGCAATGTGAGTTTTATGTAAACGTAGCTCTTAACTGAATAGTTCTTAATACAACAAATGCCTGTTTTATAAGAAGTCATCTCACAGCTGAAGGATACAAACTAAAGAGAACAGTGAGGACACACCAGATGGCTCCAATATTGACCTCCTTGCTGGCGTCCACCACGCTGTAGTAACACTCGGTGAACAGGAAGACGCCCAGAGCGTAGACTGCAAAATCCACCAGCCACTGGTACTCCAGGAAGAAACGCAGCACTGGAGGAGTAACAGAAGGAAAAAATTAGACTCCAAAGGTTCTTTTTTTCTAAGTGGAAATGTGAGGAACGTTTTCAGAAATTGGAATTTACTGAGGAAAATGAGCACATGCATGAAGGGTTAGAAGGCAGCACCTTAGCTTATAGTCAAAAGTGAAGCCAGGAAAAAGGTGAGTTGGGGAAAACGTGATGTTTGCCTTACCCAGAGCGTCCATGACGTTGACCGGCGCTTTGTCCAAGTGAAGGTTGATGTCTTTGGGCACGGTGATAGGCTTGTTCTCGCCGTTCTGCCGCCTGTGAGCGGGCAAACACGACCAGGAAATGGGATTACACACCAACGTTTTGACGGAGGGAAGAAAGTGGGACAGTGAGGCTGGCTTCACAGACAATCCTCCGAGCAGCAGAAGGCTCTTTCACCTGTCTCTCCTGGTCTGTTTGGGCATCTGTTTGCCCGCCAAGGCACATAGCTCGCCCTCCGACGGGTGCTTGAATCTCAACAGACTGAGGGGAAAAAGCAGATTCATGGGAGGTCATTGAGGGGCGGCATCTCAGACGTGTCGTACATAAATGGGTCGTGACGTTACCTTCCATTGCAGAGGAGCCAGCGTGCAAAGGAGCAGTGTGGGGCCATCCTCTGCATGATGCTGGCGGCCAGCAAGCTGACCACCAGCTGGATCCCCATCAGCGCCTGTGAGGGAGGACACACACAAGCCTCACCTGTTTCTATCTTACAAACTATTAGGTCATCCAGAAAAGAAGAGGAGCATCTACAACAATGGAAAGGCTGCATGCTTAAATTAATCTTCCAAAAATAAAGACGAGGCACAAAGGTTTGCAGAAAGTAAGGTTCTTCCAACACTGTGTGGGTCCATCACAGGCTCAGTCGATGTTAATGCTAGTTACCAAAAAATGTGAGGCTCACGGACACAAAAGGACACACAAACTTTTTACAAGCTGAAACACGAGGGGCGTTGAAACATGCCTCCAAATGAATGAAAGTTAGCAAATGGTTAAGTGGCTAAATTTAGCCAAAACCCGACCACCTGTCAGCCAGCTGCAAGCGTTAGCCAACTAGTTAGCATTAGCCCAATGTGTCTCAATGGCTGATTTTAGCTCGTAAGCGGCCATAAAACGGGCGGTTCACACTGAGAGTCGGTTGGTGTTGTGGTTCAGGGTGTAAACACACTCACCATCGCCTCTATCCTACAAGACAGCTAAGTCCCGAAGCCCGCTGCTGCTGCAGCTTCTGCACATGCATGAAAGTCTTTGACAGCTGAACCAACTGGCATGTGAAACAGGAGAATGCCCCGGATGTACTCACTGGGGTCCACAGATGCCTTCACGGACTCCCCGAAAGCTCAGTAAATATTATGAACTAAAACCACGGTCGCTTGTGCTGCCGCCACAATCCAGACAAAGAAACCCAAGGTTACAGATGTTTGGTATACTTTTATTTTTATTTGTTTTCATTTTTATTTATTTTTTTATCATCGGTTTATTTACACTGAGGTCAAACATTCAATTACATTCTTTAAATGTAATTGACATAAATGTAATTTGACATATTGTTTTCAATCAATTTAAAAACTGCAATGATGGTGAGTCCAGAAAGGTTTGTCATCAGCCACTCTTCTCTTTCTATGGAAGCATATCCAGGCTTTATGGATGCATCAGAGCAAGTAAAGGACCAGCATGTGCATACCCTTCCCCAGATAAAAAGACACGTTTCATGTATGGTCATGGAAATATCAACACGTAATTTATGTGATTTGTTTTTTAGATGGAACAGAACGATGGATAGGTATTTTAATTATTAAAAATCTCTTTTCAACTTCCTTTTAAAAAAAAAGACTACCAAACACTAAAACAGGTTGTAATGAGTTCCAATGTCTGTTTTGACCTTTGAGCTGTTTAAACACGTCCCTCTTGTGGTAGCCTAACCATAAAACAATCTGCACACACAATCTGGAACACAATTCCTATCGTAAATTGTGATGGTCGGAAAATTAAGCACTGCGGATGTTTTCCCTCAGCATGGTTTGGGAAGATAGTACAAGTTCAAGGAATGATAAAAGATAAATGCGGAGTATCCATGTAAATGACCCTTTTCTGCCTTTCAAGCAAATGAAACTGTAACAGAAGGCTACTTTTAGGAATGACAGTTACTCTTTGCATCATGCTACAGCAACCCTAGAATGATATGAGGATACACATTTAAATATGTGCTGTGCATGAGGAAAAGTGATGGGATACACGTGCTTCCTGCTCAATATTTGTAAAAATGTGTCACATATAAAGTTCCGGATTGGCTGATTAAACAGCTCGTAGTTTCAGAGACAATTAAATATTTTATTTTAGTATAACTTTTAGGTCATTTGTATCACTGGAAGTAATCAACACACTTTCTTCCTTAACATTTCACAAAGTCTCTCATGCTTTAAAAATGGCTTTCTCTAGAAAACAAATACAAAGATGTGATAAGATGGAACACGTAGCGGTTTATGGTGCTCAATATGCTTCCACTCATTGACTCTAATTAAAATGTAAGGTTTTAACCACCGTAGATCCTCGTTCTTCTTCAGTGCCCCTGAATGCTTCTGTGTGATCCTCGTAATGATAATCTCAAGGTTTCATGTCTCCACCATCACACATCTTAACATTTCACTGGATGAAAACAAACATTATGCAAATTATGAAGCTTAAAGTCTCAGTTATGCTCCTCTTGCTCCCAGTTCCCTCATCCAAAAACTAGCTCCACTGGGATGTGAAAAGAGGAAAACGTGCATATATTTTGATGGAATTGTGTCTCGGAGCACTATTCTCCGCATTATCCTCCATTTTGATAACCAAGAAATTCTGAACCCGAGGTTGTCTCCACACTTTATGGAAAAATGTAACATCTTTCTTGTGTGTGATGGAACAACTGAGATTACAGTAAACCGTGAGGTGTGTGGGGAGTGGTGAGGACTACAGGTGTGGCTGCAAAGACGCCTGCCTCATAAGCAGTTTGGTCAGTTTGTGAATGATTATTCAAACACAAACATGCATACACACACACGCACACACACACACTGGCCTGCATGTGCATTATAATATCGGCTCATCCTCTTATCCCAGAGCTATTCCCAGCATTCAAATCAGTATTTTGCATTTGTGTCCGTGTCCTTGGGGTGGTCTTCCTAAGTCATTTTCTTCCTGCTTTCTGCTAATTGTGGGCGCCCCTCCCGCTGAAGATGTGTCTGATCCTTTGCTTTGTGCATTTGCGCGCGTGAGTGTGACGTTTCAATGAGAGCTGCAGATCTGATCGAACGGAGCTCTGAGCAGTGGAGCAGCAGCATCTGTGGACATAAATCACAGGAATTCTGCTGCTCGGCTCGGGATGGAACACCGGGTGGTGCATCTTCATGAATCGCTGATGTGATTGATGCTTATTTCCTGAATCTATCAGTTTGAGAGATTCTGGGAAAAATGTAGGGATCACCTTTGCATCAGAATATCACCTTTTCATTACAACTTCTAAAAAAAACAGTTTGTTTTGCTTCACTTCATGAAAGCTGAAGGACGCATGTACCAACCTGAGGCAAACATGTCTGTTTATGGGTGTTACCAGCCAAAGCATTTGTCACAATCTTGTAAAAAATAAAAAAATGTACACAGGTCACACACAAAAAAGGCATAAACTGACACTCTAAATTGTCCTGTGCTTTCTTCCAACATCTCAAACATTAAAATGTCAGTCACAGTGGGAGAAGAAACGTCTCTCTCTCTCTCCCTCTCTCTGTGTGTGTGAGAAAACACCTCCATCATTATCATCTTTGACACAAATGCTAATCCCTCTGCCATGTCCGCCATCTGTGGCTGGAGAGCCAGGCCAGAAATTACTGAGGGAAAATGGACACAAATAAAATGCAAATCCGCACGGGCTACAAGTGGCTCCCCTCCTTCTGCTCGGCTCGGGGGGCCTCTCGGTTCCCACACCATTTTCCCCGTGTTTCCCTCAGGATACTGTCGGCTACTTCTGAGCCCGCAGCAGGGACGCAGCCCTCCCATTGGCTCTCCTTTGTTAGGCCCCTTGCATGGCATTCACCGCCTAATTTGAATATATGCAAATGTTGCAATGGTTAGCCATCAAAGCCCCCCCCCCCCCCCCCCCCCAACGCACACACTAAAAGCACTGCAGTGGTTATTTTCCCCTTGCTCGTCTACCTTAATTTTACCCGCTTTTTTCCCCCTTTTTTTCTTTTTGTCTCTCCCCTAACTGCTGCCCCCTCGGCCGTCCAGGGGAGAGCTGTGGGAACCAGCTATGAATGACCAGATCTGCTTTGTCACAGGGATTTATTTTTAAAGAGGGCCGAGACTCATGACTGTTAATCAACAGGCTCATGAAACAACATGGGAAAGAGGGAAGAGCCACTACATCACATCTTCTGTCTGCCCTGTCCACTAACCAAGGCCCCATCCCAGACCCCCCCCACGGCCCTCCACTTCCATTTAGGCAAAAGGATGCTTTCATGTAACATGCTGGCTCTGTGTGCTGAACGTTATGTCTTGGTTTCTTAAAGAAAAAGGAGATGCATGCACAACCTGTAAGAAATTAAAAAAGATAGGTGACACCTGCTGCCAGCTCTAGTCAGATTCTATGGATTTGCTTTTTTTTTTTACAACTCAACCAAAACCACATGAAGACAGATTTGACTGATTAAATGCAGAATTGGTTACTTAACAGGAAGCTGCCAGTGTAAAAAAAAGAAGAAGCCGTTCCACTGTTATAACCCTATTTCTAATAAGCTCATGATGACTCTTTTTTTTCTTTTATTTCAGCCTTCTTAGCTAATTATAGCTATGTTTTTTGCTAAAGAGGCTCATCCAACACTCCCAAAGAGAAGAAGGTCTATCAAACCATTTCCTCTTCTCTTCTTAACTCACACAGCCTCATTACTGTATTTTGCTAAAGATTTAAAATGAGGCCTTTGAGGTGGACAGTCCAGTGGCTTCATGTGTATCAGAAACCACAGCTCAGTCAGAGGCTGCAGACAAATCTTAAGCTGTTTATTTGGCTTGTTCTGACACGATTTAAACATCTGTGTTTGCAGGCTGGATCTTTGATCACATGTATGTGATCCTGAGTCAGTTTCTGAAGCTGTCAGGGCGACTCTTGGCAGAAATCAGAGGTTCCACACGCCCAAGGCCTAACCTTTTTGTTTTTTCTGCTGGATAGGATTGAAATGTCCGTGCATTATTGTTTATATAAATATAGTAGTGTATCGTTACAAACTCACTTTATCGACTCGGTTTTCTTTATTTCATTTTCTTTTCTTCCACCTCAGAAATATCTTTTCCATGCCTTTGTAGATTTTTATTTTTATTTTTGCATAATCTAATTTCCCCCTTTGAATAGAGAACGTTCCTCCGGACTGTGGTTTGATGTTTAAGTCCAGCTGACCAGCGCAATTCTTCTTTCTGAAATGAAACAGCCCCACTCACGAATCTGACCCACTGACACGCTGGAGCTGAGGATCTTTTAACGAATTCCACGAGATTCACTTGTTCTGAATGCTCGAATGGTCCGCCTCTTCCCCTCCATTAATTTTGAGAGTGCATTCCCATATTTTGAATCACAATCGTGGGCGCTGCGCTTGAACTTGACCGACAGAATTGGCTGGGAAAGGAGGCGAGACTTTGGCCCTTTTGCTCCCCTCCTTTATGGAGAGGAGGCTGCAAGACCGATGTCACTGCTCATTTGCATGAACTTCAGCCTGTTCCCAATTAAACCAGGAAAGCCGGAGAGTCCATCATTCTGTTGTCACATGAGGACTGGACCAGCATCTCCCACGAGCTGCAGCCCTGCACGTGAGTTTGGGAGTTTTATGTTTGGTGGGTTTTTTAAATATCACTGTAGAAGGTGAAATTATTTTAGTTTGTAGAACTTATTTAATCCCTCAAAATCTTGAGATCAGATGTATTTGTCTGTCATTTTCTCTTTTGTTGGATGTGAGAATGTGGGACTGGTTTTACTCTTAGACTATTTTTTCCAACATTATCTGGTTTCTAATTGATTTGAGGAACGTATCAATAATTCTAAGTGCATATGTTTATGTTAATTCGACTAAATGCAGTTATGTTGAAATACCTTAAGCTTGTACCTCTTTTGAGAGTTTTCCCTGTAATTATACCAACCTGAACCAGGCATCAAGCTGAGCAGTTTTTCTGTCCTCACCTGTGTGGGTTTAACTGAGGCGAGATTTGGAAAAGGTTATGAGCTAAAAAAGGAAGCAAACGAATCTATTTTTAAAAAATAGAATGAATCCATATAACCAGGATGT